TACTATTACTAAGGCCTTATCGCCCTCTTATAGTACTAGTGTATACCTTATGTATTAGTATTAACTCTTATTCTTTTCTCTAAATAAAAGTGTTCTCTTATTAAGTACTCTAGATTAAGTTAGTTATTAATTCTAATAGTACGTTATATACTGTTTTAAGGCTTACTACTAACCTAGTAGACTCTTATAAGACAAGGTATCTATAGTTACTAGTCTTAGCGATAAGGTTAAGCTAGGTCTTAGCTACGTTATATATACTTAATAGCCTTATAGCGTCTTGCCTAGTCTATAGCTACTAACGCTTAGGTTAGCTTAAGATATCTTGTCTTACTTAAGAGTCCTTACCTCTTAAGAGTTCTAAAGATCTTACCTTTATAACTAAGATCTATTACTCTTTTATTATAACACTAGTAACTCTTATTAAGAGTACGCCTCTTAGCTTCTCTCTTAAGGCTAAGAGTAAGTCTTACCTAATCTTGTTAGTACTAGACTTATAGTCTAGGCGCCTTAATAGGCTATTAGTAAGGTTACTCTTACTTAGCTAGTACTTAATACTAAAATTAAACTTAGCTAGCTTTTAGACCTAACGTACTTGTCTCTTATTTAGCTTTTCTTTTTTTATAAACTATTTTAGGTTATTATAGTCTGTCTTAACTATTACTAGTATAAAAGTATAGCTAAGGTAGTATCTTTATTACTTAAACGCTATAATAATTACTAGTATCTCTTAGTTATAAGTTAGGTAGACTTATTATACTAGGTTTAGCTTCTTTAAGTAAAAAGTAATAAGGTACTACTACTTTATGTCCTTTTAGCTAACAAGTTATAATAAAACCTTAGCTATAGTAAACTAAGATACATTAGTCTTAATAAGTATAGGCGACCTTAGTATAAAGTAAACAAGTATTAGAGTAGTCGTAAATGTCTTCTTTAGCTTATTAAATATATGTTACACTTTCTTTCTAAATACTAGAGGCCTTACCTTCTTACCTTAATTTATACTCTTTAAGAGGTTAGTAAGTAGTACTATTAGTTATAAGTAGCCTTTAATAAACTAGTAGTAAAAGTTTATAAAACCTAAAAATACCTAGATATCTTAGAAAGTACGTAGTACTAGCTACTCTCTAATTATAAAGACTTAACTTAACTTTATTAATACTCTCTTAGTTAAAATAATAAAACCTAAGAACTTTATAGACTAAGTATTAAAATTACATTTCTTAAGGTTAATATAAAGGTTATACTATTATAACTATTTAAGTACTTAGTATATATACGTTATATAGTCTTTTACCTTCTTTAAAAAGATTAGGATATTGTCTAGGTAGATTACGTAAGTAACGTCTACTAGGCCTACTAGCGCCTTGTTAATATACTACTAAAATGTAGCTAGTACGTTATATAATCTAAAAGGTATAATATAATACTTAAAATAACTATATTATATATAAAACGCTATCTTTTACTTATTACTAGGCTAAATACAAATATAGTAGTAGACATCTTTTAAGTTAAGCTTTATAAAGACTATAGCTCTCTTAAGCTAATCTAGTATCTTACTAATTAGTAGTAAAGGCGTCTAATTCTTAATAGTAATCTTGTTTAGTATCTAGTAGTTAACGTAAAGGTATAGGCCCTTATCCTTCTTTAGTATAAACATAATAAGTACGCTTACTAGACTATAAGACCTTTTAATCTAGCCCTTTTCTAACTTGTCTTTTAGGTATTCTTATAATACCTTTATTTCTTTCTTTACTAGTAAGTAAAGTAGTCTTTATAGCGGCTTAGTACTAGGTTCTAGCTTAATTATATACTAAGCCTTATTTTTGTCTAAAAGCCTCTTTACCTCTTTATTACTAAACATACGTATAAAATCCTTATACTTAGCTAGTATATATAGCGTTATTAACGTACTATTACTAAGTATAGCTACTATAAAAAGGCTGTTATAACCTCTCTTAAAGAACGTCTTAAATAGTAGTATATCTTCTTCTCTTCTTAAGACTTATATAAATTCCTTAGGTTTTATAATCTTTACGCCTTTATATACTTAGTAATACTCTTATGTCTTAGTAACAAAATTAATCCTAGGGTTTACTTTATAAAGCTATAAGTATCTAAGTACTATTAAGTATACTTCTAAGTTTATAGCTAAGAACTTATACGTGTCTTTCTAGGTCTTACTCTTTAAGTTAGTAGTATTTACTAAGACCTAATACTTTTTAAAAACAAAAATTAAGTTACTATTAACTATTTAGAGCTATAAACATAAGAAAGTAGTATTCTTATTATACTACTTATACTTAACTATAAGAGACTAAGAGACTACATTAGTCTCTACCTTACTATTAATTAGACCTTATACTTTCTTTACCTTTTCTTAGCTGTCTTATACCTTAATAGTAATAAGAAGGTATATTCTTAGCTATCTCTTATAATCTAACTACTTCTTTTTATTAGAGAGGCCTAAGTTAATTAAGACAACTATCCTTAGGCCCTCTCTTTCTTTAAGTTAGTACGCTTATTAGCCTTCTTAGAACAGGCTAGGGCTATATAGCCCTTTTTTTTATAGACGTAGTAGACAATCTCTAGGCGTGTCCTTAGTATAGATATAGACTTATAATCTCTTATATAATGTCTTCTTTTCTTATACTTATAGTACTTTAGGTATAGCCTTAGGTTTAAGCTAGATTATAGTAGTGTGTTATTAACGCTTATACTAGAGTATTAAGAACATAAGTCTTATAAGCCTCTCCTTTTCCTTAAATACTTCTTAGATATAGAGCGGCTTTATTAACGTACTAAGTACTTACTACGTCTTTACTAGTACTCTTTAGATAAAGACTAACTCTTTTAACGACTTATATATTTACTATATCCTTACTAGTACCTTTTTATATACTTATCGTTATTAGAATCCTAACCTACTATACTTTTCTAAATCTAAGTTACTACTATAATAAGTTCCTTATAAGTCTATAAAAGCTTATACTTAGTAACCTTAACTTAAAGCTCTTACGTTAGCTTAGTAAAGAGAACATTTATCCTAGTCTCTTTAGATTTAGAAAAGAGTTATTCCTTAAAGAGCTTTAGGTATTAGATAAACGACTAGATAAGTTATCTTAAGTAAAGTACTACTTTCTTACGTTAGCTAAGTACCTTTAACTTTACTATTTCTAGGCTACTTAAGTAAGATAGTATAACCCTCTTAAAGCTATACTATATTCTAGTATCCTCTCTTTACTCTTACTCTTTATATATCTATATAGATTAAGGGGTCTTCTCTAAGTATAGTATAGTATATATAATTTTACTTTCTTTTATTATATAGATATTAGGGCTTATATAAAACTCTATCTTATAAGTATATATAAAGTTATTATATTCTAAGATGTTCTTACTTATAAAGGGCTTTAAGACTAAGGCCTATTATTACTTAACTATTATTATTATAAATACTAGTAGTCTTAAGAGTGTTACTAGGTGTCTTCTTATAGACTTTATAGCCTTATTATAGATACTATCTTATTCTTAGATCGTGTCTCTAGCCTTGTCTTTAGGTACGTAAAGGCGTAGAGAGAGACACTAGCTCTTTATATACTCTTTCTTAATAAGTTATTAAAGCGACCTCTCTTAGGCCTTACGCTCTTCTTTATCTCTTTCTTTATTTAGTTACTTAAGTTTCTTATTACGTTTTTAGGCTTTTATAAGTTACGTCTATAGCCTTTTAACTTAACTAAGCGTTACTAACTTATTACTAGCGTCTCTTACTCTCTAATCCTACTTTTACCTAACTACTATATAGCTTACTTATATTATAGTAAGAGTTCTTTTACTAGGGTTTCTTTTACTAGTAGCTCTTCTTATAAGAGTCTCTTAAGTATCTCTTTCTAAACGACTAAGTACTATAACTATAACAAGCTACCTCCTTAATAAGAAGAAGAATTAGAATGTTAGAGATTAGTATTATAAGTAATATAGTAGAGAATTATAGTTAAGTAGCTAGCGAGTCGTAGTATACTTTAATTTAAATCTAAACTAATTCTTACCTCTATCCTTCTCTTTACTCTCTAAGATATATATGTACTACCCGAGAACCCTAAGTAGCCCTAGCGTGCCTACAGGTACGCGGGGCCTGCGCATTCCTGATCCTACCCCTTTTAAGTCTCTAACAACCCTACTACCCTTACCCTAGGTAATACCCTGCGTACACAAAAAATTAAAGCTATTTACAACGCTCCCTCCTACTACCTACTACCTACTACCTACTACCTACCGCTATAGATCTCCCTATACCCTAGGCTTGTAGGCTAGCCCCTCTAGAAGTAGTTTACGCTAATATTAATACTGTGTTTACTACTATTTAAGCGCACGTAAAAGCTAATAGGTATGCCTTTATTAAGCGCGATAAGAGCCCTACTAAGGTAAGGTATTACTATAAATAGCTTTATTTTTGTGTTAGTAGAATTACGAATTGCGAATTACGAATTAATTGTTTGTTTACATCGAGTTAGCTTGCGCTACTATACAAATTACTACTAAAGCGTAGGTGTATTAGATGCACCCCTGAAATTATTCGCTAAAAATATTAGCGCGTACATTTAGACAAGTCATTAGTATATTTAGGTAGGCCCTTAAAGTATCTTCCTATTTTTATAACAACTTTGTACCAAGAGATAGGTAGATTAGTTCTATGCGCTTATTAGTCCTAACCAAAATAAGATTGAACGACTAAAGAAATCTAGCGTATGCCCGCCTCAGAACGTGGCACATCATGAGACTAGGTAGGTAGGTAGTTGCGCAGGAACCCACGGGTCCCCGTGAAACCCGTAGATCCCCGTGAAAACCCATGGATCCCCACATAATTAAGGTAAGGTACAGTACCTTAGGTGCCCAGGTGGTATCCGTCGGTGACATCAGGTGACCTTCCTTAGCGAGCCTTTGAGGTAGGTACTTAAGACTTCCATATTTCCTCTTTCAACATCTCTCTTCCCCACCACTTAACTTTCTTCCACCACTTCACTTTCTTCCACCACTTCACTTAGACTCGTGCTCCAGGATCGGCTTTCAAGACCGTATCGTTCAGTGTTATACTTTAGAAGGTCCGAGCGCGTCTCTTCTCCACCACTCTACTTTGTTCTTCCGAGCGCGATCCATCATCCTCTTTCACTTCTTCTCCGCTTTCACCATCTCACTTCTCCAGACCATCTCGTCTACAGTGCCACCGGCCATAATGACGTCCACCGAGAAGTTGGAGAAGTTGCAGAAGCAGCGGCGCGAGGCAATCGAGGCCCTGGATCCGTTTCTCGCGCATGACTCTACCCTCCCTGAAGACATAATGATGTTAATGATTTATCTTAACGCGAGACCCCAACACGCTAGCAAAGCCGATCTCTTACCCCGCGACGAGATTGAGGAGCGGCTGGACATCATCAAGAAAATACTAGATGAGCAGCGCTTATACCTCGATGACCAAACGATCCAGTTCACAAAGTTGCAGCTGTCCGCATTTCTGGTCATGCCACTGGAAAGTCTTCGACAATTAATTCCCGGACCTTTTGCTCCTTCCGAACTTTTGGATTCATTCCTCTTTACTATCGAACCTTGGTTGAACTTCTGTAAGTCATTACTTTTCTTTTGCCATGGCATATATCAATTTACTAATAGGACTCAGTTCTGAAGGGTCGTTGGCTACAGCCCAACGACAATGCTTCCGCTGAAACAAGCAACGTGACCCCCAAGAAGCGCAAATTCGATGGCTCGGATGACGAGTATGACCCGAACACGCGAAGAGTCGGTCCTGATGGGAAAATTCGTCGAAACCAGGCGGAGAGGAACAAAGTACGTGATAAAATTGATCCTATCTCTATCTAATCACGGTGAAGACATTCTAACGCGTACTTTTAGTGTTTCGACAGAGATAACGAGGTCTGCATCATCACAAAAGCCGCAAACCCCGATGTCTGCCACATTGTCCCATTTGTCGTAAATGTGAGCGAAGAGAATAGAGCTATTACAGGGAAACTCAAGTCGATTTACGCTTTTATGTTTGGCAGGGCAGTAGAGCCTAAACTGCAGCGCCTTCTCGCCAACGGACTTGGTTGCTCCGACAAAAGTTGGAACATGATATGCTTGAACCGCCAGCTCCATTTCTGGTGGGCAGAGGCGCGGTTCGGATTGAAATGCCTGGGAATTACCCGGCATGACGAATTGAATTCCAGAATTCAAGTTCAATTCTATTGGTTGCCCAGACACAATGGGAACCCTAAGGAGTATGCTAGACTCGAAGTCAACGAGGTCCAGGAGATGCTGCAAGGGTCGAGACCTTGTTCTATATCCGCGTCTAGAGTTGAGTCAAACCGGAGTATTGTCTCGGGTCAAATATTCGAGATGACGATGGAGCATGAAGAGGCAGCGAACATGAAGCTGATGGTTGATGTGCAGTGGGCCCTTATCAGAATAGCGGCGATGTCTGGTGCTGCGGGAGCACCAGAACTCTTAGACGACCCTCGCGATCCGGATAGCGATTTTCAAGTCCGAGTTCGTAAGTTGCTCGAAAGGAAGGAGGCGCTCTCGAGTCTGATGTAAGGTTTTGGTGGTTATACTGAATATGCGCATTCTATTGCGTCAGAAGAGCCGCCTGTCCCCCCGCCTGTCCTGCCTGCCCCGCTTGTCCCGCCTGCCCCGCCTGTCCCGCAACAGAGTGGCATTACTAATATCACAAATCAACCTCGATCCCACAGCCAGAGAGGTGGAAAAAGCCGCACAAGCTCCCCGGAGAAGGTTCTCGCGGTCCAGCAAACCCGGCAGAGCCGAGAGAGGGCGGCGTTGGCTATGCGATCGAGACCGGGAGGATCTGAAAATACGCCCCCTGCTAGATGAGCATCATTGAATAGCTAAGTAGGCAGTTGAGATAAAGGTTGTCATTTGATATACCGTTGTCATTTGATATACCGTTGTCATTTGATATACCGTTGTCATTTGATATACCGTTGTCAAGGTACCTTGGCTTTAGAGAACTAGCTAGGTTCTACAAGAACTGTTTCACCGTTATAAATAGTGACTTAAAGAAGATGTTAAAGTAGTCATTTGTAAAGTGGTTAGAACTGTGACCATGTTTAGCTAAAGTAAAGCAAACTAATTAGTATTGTCTTACCCCTAACTCTATCGGTATTCTTTTGTTGTAATACCCGTTCCTTTGATATCCTTGTGACAATTAGAAAGAAAGGAGAGAAGGGAAAAAAAAAGAAGGATCATGACACTGAATTGCAATGACCATTCCTTGGATCAGAGGGCCATCCCCCCTCCGAAACTAGACTGTGCAAGCATATGAGACACAGCAGGCTTATCTATCAAATCTTGATAAAGTCACATTCCTCGTCATCTGCTTCAAAAACCTCAAATTCCTCCAAACCGAAGTCGATCTTCTGGGAATGTTGGGGGCTACCGAATGATGCAAGGATTATTTTCCTCCGCATTGGGTCCTTGATCGGAGTCGTACTTGGTGACGAAAGGGCTGCTGCTCGGATAAGGGAGCGCATGATCGAGTATATTTTGTCCTTGTCCCATACCCACTGTAGAAGCCTGGTGCTAACAAAGCCGCCGTCGTTATTGATCCGGCAGAAGCGGAAGTCCCTCCCATCCGATGCAATGCCATACACCACACAATTTTGCTTTGACTCCTCTGTACGTGTAGCGTGAACTATCCCCATATAGGCCACTAGTTGTGGCAAGGAAGCATCGGTTTGGTACCGCCGCTTAGCTTCTACAAATAAGGGATTCGTCGCCAGAGTTTTTTTGCTTGCATTGTCATACCAGATGCTATAGTCTGCAGATCTTGTAAGGAGCCTGGTCTGTCCTTCATATGTAACTAGTTTCGAGAAAGGCATTTCGTGGAGCAGCTCCAGCTCGGCCGGATCTTCCTGCCTGGTCGTATCTTGGGTATTGGTATCGGAAGTAGACGACGGGTGTGCATGAGAAGGGTTGCTAGTATCTTCGTCATCCTTGAACTGCTTGCTTTCTTCGTACAAACTACTGATCAGAATTTGATCCAGGATAGTGCGGGAGAAGGCTTCATTTTCACTGCCACCGTTCGTCACAGCGTGTATCCTGGCAATGCCTGCCTCGAGGTGTGGAGGTATTGGGAAAACCTTTACATCTGTAAACAAGGCTGTGTTGACCTCGCGTAGACCGAAGAGTTTGAGGGCTTTGTCGATGCTTCCAAGGGATGCTGGAGCAAGCTAGGAGCGTAAGCATATTTGCTTGTAGAGCGCATGAAATGCAGAGACCTACTGTTGGTGCATGGCCTGGGGTATAAGCTTCTGTCAGGCGAGCCTTCAAGTTGTTCCACGCAGCCTCGTAATCCTTGGGTTTAACATCAAGAGCTTTAATGATGTTTTCCAATTCCACGCCTCTCCTTCTCTTTTTGGGTGTGGCAGGTGGCACTTGTGGATCCATGCTGACGGGCTGGGGCTGCAGTTGGGCTGGATAGGAACTGGAGCTGAAATAGGATGATGATGAATTAGGAACAATCCGGAGTTGATACCAAGGATTCACGGGTCTCCGCCAATTGCAGTGCGCACCGCAAACTGAGGCTGTCGATGTGTGGGGTAATTGGTGGGGCCGGGCCGAAGGTGGGAAGGTGGATGAAATAAGGTTAAGGTTAAGGTACCTAGACAAGGATTCTGATCTCGCTTCGCCTTGCAATTACCTTAGTGCGCGCTTGCTGAACTAGGTAAGAACCGTAAGGTAAGTCATGGGCCTACTAAGCCAATGTGATGTCTATATAGAATTATTCAGTCGATATGTGTCTTGCTGAACCCTATACCCTCTTCACCACAGACAATGCCGGTACTAGTTGAGGATGGGCTGCCTCCTCAGGAGTCAGCAGATTCCACACCTGTATATTTAATCGAGTCGACGCCGCCTCTAGCAGATACTCGATAACCTCGCGGCGCCTGGCTTGGGCGAGCGCACGGCCATATGTAGCGCATTTGTCCGGTCGATCATCCCGCCATGCTGGAGGAGCCGCTCGAGGACGTAGCAAGGTGTGTATACTGCGTAAGCCTTTGATTCGCTAATAGGTACTGGTACAGCCTACAGAGCTTTCAGACAAATAATAGGGAGCTTTGTTTATAATGCAGTGAAGATTTTAAGCCAAGCTGTTAATATACTTAAAATCTCTGAATGAGTTTGAAACTTATTGATTGTCTATAAATCAGAAAGGATATCTCATCCCTGGTTGGCCTAAGGTAAGAATCTTCCTCTCCGTAAACTCCTCCACGCCGGCCATTCCACCAAAACGTCCGTAACCACTCCTTCCGCCTGTTCCACCATTTGGCAATGGAGCCTCAATATATACCGTAGGGCCATTGATATGACAACTGCCTGCCCTGACCTGCTTTGCAACTCCCATAGCACGCAACACATCCCGAGAGAAAACACTGGAACATAGAGTGAACTCACTAGAGTTGGCCACTTCTATTGCCTCCTCATCAGAGGAGACACGATATAGACACATGATTGGACCAAAAGACTCCTCTTTAGAGATTTCCATGTCCATCGTCACATTATCCAGAATATGTGGCTTCAGGATTGTCCCATTCTGCCCGTGTATCTCGAGATCGCCAGTCAACAGCTCTGCACCTTGCTCAATTGCGGATTTCACCAGACCTAAAACTCTCTTTGCACTAGATGGCGTGTATAGACCACTTAATGCCACACTCGGATCGTCATATTGGCTTCCGCACTTCAGAGTGTTAACTTTCGCCAGCAGGCTAGTCTTGAGCTCCTCTGCGACTGTATCGTGAATAATTACTCGTTCAGTGCTCATGCAAATTTGGCCGTTATTACTAAGGCCACCAAAAGCTATTGCTTCTACCGCATCACTAATGGCAGCATCTTCGAGGACCAAGACCGGGGCTTTCCCGCCTAGTTCCAAAACACATTGTTTCAGGACACTGGCAGCCCATCCCGCAATAATGGTGCCGACTCTGTCGCTCCCTGTAAAATTGATCCGGCGCACAAGTGGGTGCTTGACTGCCACCTCGGTCACAAGGGCCGCGTCCGCGGGCCGGGTAGGGAGGAAATTCAAACAGCCAGCGGGAAGGCCCGCAGCTGCCAGTGCTCTGACCATAATGTACTGTGATTTCGGGGAAAATTCAGACGGCTTGAGGACAACGGTGTTGCCACATATCAACGGTGTGGCAATCGCACGTGCCGCCAAAGACACCTGAGAGCCGTTAGTGCGTCTTTCGAGGGACGAGAGCTAAGGGATCAATAGAGACTTACCGGCGCGTTCCACGGGCTTATCGCAAATACCACTCCCACCGCTTCCCTCAACACCATAATTGTTGTTCCTGGCCGATCAGCTGGCACAATCTCTCCTTTGATATGAGTGACTAGGCCGGCGGCCTCTCTCAGGAATCCTGCCCCAGCCTTTATGTTCACTGTAGTCCAGCTCTTAGTTGCTGATACTTCGGCCGACATAATTTCACCCACGTCGGCACCTTCATCGTGCTCCTGGCCTTCTAGATACGAGTCAAGGATATCCGCCGCCTTGAGAAAGATTAGACGTCGTGCCGAGGGAGGGGTCCGAGACCACGTTTTGAAAGCTGTCTGCGCTGACAATATTGCTTCCTTGTAGTCATCGACGCTGGCAGAGGAGCACGCATAGATGTCTTTGCCAGTCATGGGGTTTGTGGCGGTAAAGGTCCCGGAATTAGAGGATGCGACTTCTGCGCCATTGATGTAGAGAAGTTGCGGATCTGATAACTTTGTCGCCTTGGGAATTCCGTTGACTATATTTCCATTCATTTTAGCGATTTCTTTTTCGGGGCGGTGAAAATGGAAGGGCAAGATCGGGATTTGGGGTATTCTGAAGGATGTAGAGTGAGGCTCGAAAATCCCGATACTTCCTCTTAATAAGAATACGAGGCAGGTAACTCCTGATGTTCGCAACACGTGCAATGTGGAACAGTTGAGGGGCGTTCACTGGTCTTTGCAACGGCCCGGAACAGGTTCCCGCTCCATTTGCCAAGGTCAGAAATCACCACGCGGGGGATGCGGGGCGATCGCCGATCACGGTGTTCAGTGGAACTCTAGTGCGGGGGTCCGGAATCCTGCATCCGCTGCCTCGAGTACGATAGGCTGGCTGATACAGTCGAACCACCATCTCCCTCTGACAGAAAATAGTTAGAGTACTCAGGTTTCCTAAGGATGTGTTTTTGGTTGAACACCCGTAGTATGAAAATAAAGACTGAAATTATTACTACTGTACAGTTAGAACTGAGAAGTGATTTAGTAAAAATCAATTCCTCTTGTTGCTCTCTACCTATTATGATCTAGGACCAACTGGTCAACATTGCTTTAGCCAGTACTCGGTAGACAGTCAATAAAGAGTCAAATATGTTGAAAAAAGAAAGAGAAACCCCCCTTTGACGAATAATGATAAAGGCACTATAGAGGTGGTAGCGACAGCGATGATAGCGATAGTAAGGGTTCGACTAAGTGTAACGAGATAGGGAATAAGGGTAACGACGTGAGGCGACAACGAGGTGGGCAACAGTAAGATAAAAGACGACAAAGGTTACCTTAGGTAGGTAGGAAATAGACCTTATTCCTTGCTACTTATAATTTGGGTGAAATAGAGAAGAGCCTCCCTCTCATGCCGTGGAATGCTACTCTAATACACCATTATACATAAGGTAGGTCTATAGGCCCGTATGTGAAAACTCGAAGCCGGAAACTAATTCCTATGTCTTGAAGTATCAAAGCACACGTTGAATAATAGATGGAATGTCCATGTGATTTTAAAATCTCTCATTGTATTCATTAACTGTGGTAAGGAAAACATATAACTGATTCTAGTGAGCCTTTACGCCCACTGTCGTGCCCTCCGTCCAATTCGCCCCACTTTTGCTCAAGACCTCAGCGTCGTGACTGAATAGCCACTTACGTCTCTCTTCGTGTCCCCAAAAGATCGGATTCTCATCTGCGTTGAGAGCCATCTTCGTATCTCTCACCTTTTGCTCCTCCCCATCGTCAACATGAAGAATATATTGATGTTCCCTAGTTTTGGCCTGCACAGTGGACGATCTTGGCAGGCGAATCTTCTCGTACTTTTTCAAGGCTGTTGTGAGATCTGGCTCCGCGGCAAGGCATTGTCGAAGAGTCGCCGCATCTTCAACAGCTTGAGCAGCACCTTGGGCGAGGTATGGAAGCATAGGGTGGCATGAGTCGCCGAGCAAACAGACCTTGCCCGATGGGTGGACCCAGCGCGTTAATATAGGTAGGTCGCAGAGTCGCCATTTCATGAAGTCTCTGGTAAGTTTACAGAGCTTTTGCACTCGCGGCTCCCATTTCTCGAAGCGCTCGCAAAGCTCCCTATTATCGCCCTTGACCACCCAAACCTCATCAGTGGTTTCCCCTTCCGACTTGGCACATACAACAATGTTGTACATCTCGCCATTTCGAATGGGATAGCCCACGATGTGAACATCTGGCCCACACCAAGAGGTCGTGCAAGGATCGGTAATCAAACCGGAAAGTTGAGGATCAGCCAAAAGATCATCTCCCGGGATAAGAATACGGTACGCGACATCCCCGGTATCTCGAGGTACATCTGGCTGCCCGGTCAGAAGGGGACGTGCTACAGATTTAACTCCTAATAACACTCGTTAATACCCAGGAAGTTAGAAAGTGATATGGAAGCTTACCATCAGCGGCAATGATCAAATCGGCCTTCCAGACCTTTCCATCAGAAGTTGTCGCACTTGGAGCATCAAAATCATATTCAGTGACCCTTTGCTTCTTGTAGACCCTGACTCCTGCATTTTCGGCTGCTTGGAGAAGCCCAGCATGCAAATCGGCGCGGTGAACCAAGTAATAGGGCGCCCCGTGTGTCTCGACGATGTTGTCAAACGGGACTTTTGTGATCGTTGATCCATCCGCCCATCGAAGAAAATGGTATCTCTTTGAGACTGACTTCTTCATATTTTCAAGGTCGACACCCCAGCGGAGTAGCAACCTCGAGCTATTCGGAGGAACACGAATCCCAGCTCCTGCCTGTCATGTCGTCAGCCCTTGTCCTTGATATAGAGACTCGAGGCTTACCTCAGCGAATTCTGGGGCTGAATCGATAACGGTGACCTTGTGGCCATCAGTTTGGAGGGCTAGGGAGGCTGCGAGACCTCCTAGACCCGCTCCAACAATGAGGATTTCTCGAGGAGTGACTGCTTGAGGCATAATGATAATTTAGGGTAGGCTGGCTGCAAAGTCAAGAATGGGAGTAAATTGTCTGTCGGGTATCAAAAGGAGGTGAGATGGGAAGATTTATAGAACTCTGTCTTCATGCAGATCTTCTTGTCTAAACTTGGTACATTTCAAAAACAAATCTTTCCAAAATCCAGACGATGCTTGCAACACGCATGTGAGTAAAGTTAAAGTTCCAGCTTACCGCTCTCCGGTAGCAGGGAGCGAGTCAGGCGATCCGGAAACACGTTCCTGAGACGGATACTTGGTTCCTACGCTAAAATTGAAATCTTCCCCTTAAACTCCCGGAGACTGCTTCCGGGTGATGGTTTCCTGAAAAGAGCCGTTGAGAGTAAACATAGTATCTGTCGGTGATCCTCCTCCTACAGTAGGAATCGGGTCGCGGGATATTCTGCCTGCTCTCAAGTCTCTCATTCACGCTCTCGGTACAGGTTTTGGACTTCGTCTACCAATAAAAGAATACACTATATACATTGTGCTTGTATATCAACATTAGCGGAACTGTGACTATTGGGTAGTTTTAATTCAGATTATGGGTAGCAAGATTCAGTAAAACGAAATAAAGAAGCGGGGTAAGATATTTTCTCTTTTTTCCAACATTATTGCGAGGTAGTTGCTCTATGCAGATTATGCTTCCAAGAACTGTGTTACATGCTGCGAATACTCCTCAAGTCCATCAACCACACTAACATGGCCCGCCCCCTTTATTATAGCCCATCTTACTTTTCCCCCTTTTCCTAGACTATCAAAGCCGGCTTGTATCTGTTCCCTGAGTTCCGCCATTGTCTGCGGTAGGTTGGCATCGTTCTCCCCTACCACAAGCATTACTTTCTCCACAGCGCCGCCGAGCTTCCCAGCTAGAGGTCTCAAATCAAACTCCTTGTCTTGCAACGCGCGACAACATGCTGCAAACCCTTCGATCTGGGTCTTCAACATAATGTTTCTCATCCGCTGTACTTCCGCCTCATTCATCTCTCTCCAGGGCTCCGAAAACCACCTGACAATAGTCTGCTCGACAATATCGTTGATGTGGCCGTCTTTTCTTGCTGCGGCCACGCGTGCCTCGAATGGATCTGGAATGCCGATAGCATTTGGCGAGCACGAAATAGTATCACAAATCACCAAGCGCTCCACACGTCCCGGGTTCTGGGCGCAGAAGTAGATGCCTGTTGCGGCGCCCATCGAAATCCCAATCCAAGCATGTACCTTTCTAACTTGAAGGGCGTCTAAGAGTTGCAAGACATCGTTTGCAAGAGAGTTAAAGGTGGTACCATCAACTTCCGACGAGTTGACAGTAGATCCGCCGTGGCCGACCTGATCATACTGAATGACGCGGAATTTGTGGCCATGAAGTATAGAGACGTAATGATCCCACGTGTGGAAGGGAGCACAGAGCGAGTTCGATAAAAGAACGGTTGGAATAGAATCCGAGGGACCAGACGATGAGGGTTTCGGCGCCGGGCCTGATATCTGGTACGACAACTGTCGTCCATCACGCAATTGAAGTTGTGATACTGTAGAGTTTAAAGACATCGTTGCTGAAGTTTTGAGAGTATAGCTGTGGGGGAATAACTTCAGTGCAGGATGGATGACTTTGGCGTAAAGAGGCTTCTGGTTTACACTCTCCACCCTGCTTCCCCCCCGCCCCGCTCCACCCCACCCCAACCAAAAGTGCCCCGCCAAATCACGTGTTCGCCGGCAAAGCGTCTCCGCCCCGCTCTATCTCCGTCCCCGACTCCCCGCATCTCCCCCACAGCGGAATCATACAGCCGAGTCGCTTTCCACCGCAGGTCCCCCGGAATGCAGACTTCCCTTCTTCTTTCTCCTCCGGATCCGTTTCCTTTCGACTTTCTCAACTGCAGTTGATAACTTGGATTACCTGTTGCCACAGTCTCAAATTTGGGCCCACGGCTACTTGCTCCTGGATCTGCCGATGACTGTCTCCTGCCAAGGATGCCGGAGCCGGGTTCGAAACGACGTCGGATACCCGATGAGTTAAGGAAACGCGCCCAGCAGAGTTGTGATCTGTGTAGGAAGGTGGGTAGCATTCCCAGGTCTCCAGCCCCCTCTTGGCACTTGTGGTTTTCGTTTGCTGATTCGGTGAGCAAAAAGCGACGCTGCAAATGTGTGCGCGACCAGAATAGTGATATTTGCCAAGCATGCCACCAAGCCGGTAGTGACTGCACGTGGTCCGCACCACCCAAGACTCGGTTTTCCGGAAATATTGAAGATCTCAGTGACAGGTAGATCCTTGTTTATGACTCTGCTGCACATATTAGCTAACAGCTTCTCATTCTCTAGGTATCGCTGCTTAGAGGCTATAGTCAAGGGTGCCTTTCCCAAGGAGACTATTGAGACCACAGCGGATCTGCTCAGTCTAGGAGAGCGACTGCATTATGAAATGCCAGATCTCTCTTCCGGCCCCACAAAAAGACTGGAAGAATTAATCAAATACTCTCGGGATGATGCAAGTCATCCCAGCTTTACCAAAGAGCCTGAACGAAGTACTGGGGCTGCAAGTGAAGAGCCTGAAACCAGTTTGGTTCAATCACAAAGGAGGTTGTCTGGAGTAGCGAGGCTGGTTAAGGACACAGCAGGGCACGTACATTATATAGGACCCACTGGAAGCCTCACATTCTTTGCCGAGCTGCGAGATCTGGTTGGAACATATCAACAAAACTTTCGTCGTACTGCAGATTCCGCGTCAGATTTTGCACAAGACAACCTTGCCGAAGCATTGGAAACAGAGGAGGGACACGAAGACAAGCCTATCCAACAGCAAGAAACTGGAGAAGACCTTGCATCTCCAAAACCTGCTGTCTCACCTGCTTCAAACTATACGACTGGTGCGTCAGGTCTCGACCTAGATGAGCAATTGAGACATCTGCCACCACGAAATATTATGGAGGTTTTGATAGCCTCCTATTTTGATCACTGCCACCATGATCTCCCATTGTTTCACAGAGCCACATTTCAGGATCAATACGAATATTTCATCCTACACGCTCAGCAATCAAAGTTAAATGGCCAGTCTGCTACTGTTGAACCTACATCTGCTGCCCGGCCCGACTATGGTTGGCTAGCCTGTCTGCATATGATCCTCGTCTTCGGATCACTTTCCAAGCCAACGTCATCGAGGATGTCAAATTTTGATTATCGTACTGCTCGGCGTGTCTCAATCGCCGCAGCACACTCTTTCCTTCCCAGCCTTATAACCAAATGTACATTGTCAAATATCCAGGCAATCCTTCTGCTTTCCTTCTACTTTCATAATAATAACGACCGCAATGCTGCATGGACTCTTGTTGGCACTGCAACTCGCATGTCCTTTGCTCTGGGCCTCCATCAGAATGAACTTGAAACTCAATTCCGACCCGTGGAGCGGGAAACGAGAAAGCGAATATGGTGCAGCTTGTTTACTTTTGAGCAATTCCTCTGTTCCAGTCTGGGACGGCCGAGTGGGATCGATGATCCTGATGTTGAAGTCAGAGTGCCAGTTGAAGGGTTGTTGGACGGAGGAACCGGTGCAGGAGAGCAATTTGCAGAAGCCTCATTGAAGCTGCAGTATATTTTGGCTTCAGCGAGGAGGCTAACGTTCAAGCGACCCAGGAAGGCCGACAGGAATGGCTCCACATTTCAAAACGGTCATTCTGCGTCAGCGCCCACCGTTGAATGTATTCTGAAAGGACTTGAAGATTGGAGAAACAATCTGCCTTTTCATCTTCGGTTGCCAATTATTGATTCGACTACAACCAACAGCGCCGTTTTGGATGCTGAAACGCAACCCTTTGAACTTGTGCGACTTTCTCTGTCAAGGCAAACTCCACGCCAACTCCGTGCCTTAATTCTGCTACACATCCAATACCACTACATCATTATGCTTGTCAGTCGTTCCGCACTTTTAGTCGAGATAGCCTCAAGCAGCGCTTCAGCCACGGGTAGACATCGCATAGATGTTGATAATACCGACACACTGCCTGATTCTTCTCAAAATCCCATTAGCTCTTCTTCAACTTTGGCGTCAAGAAGCGTATCGGCAGCTGCTCAAATTGCGTCTCTGACTTTACTTCTGCAAAGCTTTTCACTGCTGAATGGAACATCTGGATTTGATATCTTCTATGCCTACTCATCTGCCATGGTACTTCTGCTACGCACTCTATGGGCGAAACACCACCATAGGCTAACGGAAGCGGATGAGGAGTCGGAACGAAAGAAAGCTCTGAGGGCTTTGGAGGCTAATCTGAGAGAAGCAGTAGAGAAAGCTAACAAGTCCAAGACAATGGAAAGGTTCGCAGCGGTGATGAAGAAATTCGGGGCTGTTGTTTCAAGTATTAACAGCTCCAGAGATGTCGCCACCATCTGTAATGATGCGGCTTGTGAAACCTGCCCGAAAAGAAGAATTGCTTCACAGAGCCAAACTCTAGTGTCGTCAGATGAGGGTCAAACATTTCATGCTAGTACTATTCCGCAAAACGTATTGCACGATCATGGAACATCCCTTAACCCAGCCGCGGGCGCGGGTGAGCAGTCTGATCAGTCACTCCACTCAAGCAGAAATAACAACGGTAACAAAAGCAACGCATCGTTCCCAGGCACGTCAATTTCTGCCATCGACAACAGCACTGCTTCTTTACCTCTGCAAGGACACCGTAGCGACCCATCCCTCGATCCTATCATTCCTTCTCCCTCAAACTTAAACTCTCGGTTTTCCTACCAGTTCTCGCCTCCTGGTGTCGGGGTCTCATCCAGCAATAGTATGATGACAAATGGTCTTCCGCTTTGGCACGATGCTCCTCTAGATGCTCTTACAAACGGGTTTGTCGTTGACTGGACCGATCTGGATGCATTCATGGGCGGACAGCTGTAGCAACAATCGTACAATACAACCGAAGAAATAGAACAAACGTGTTGACAAGTCCACCACGTCCCGGTATCTGGTTTATAAAGATAGAATACGGATCTGATACTGTTACAAGTTTATTCCACCTTGATGACAATTCTCCCTTCCACCTTGGCACCCTCTATTTCCTCTAGCACCAGTGAGACTTCCCCTAATCCCCTCTCCACAATCTGCGGCTTGATCTCCTTCCTTGCAAGAAACTGCAACGCTTCCTCAGTGTCCTCAAGCGTTCCTGTAGACGTGCCCATCAATTTGATACCCCTGGCAATAAAATCTTCAGGTATGACTGGAATGGGCGACGCTTTGGGTGGGAGACCAATGCATACACAAGTACCCGCACGACGAAGGTACTTGACAGCATCAGCGTACGCCCTGCCAGAAGAAGCGCACACCAGAGCGCCGTGCGCGCCGCCTTCGGTGATTTTGATAACCTCAGCAACGGCATCTGGAACCTCCACTACATCGATATAGGCCTCTGCTCCAAGCTTCATACAGATGCCGCGCTTTCCGACATCCAGAGCAAGTGGACGAAATCCCATAGCTTTCGCATACTGGATTGCCAAGTGTCCGAGTCCACCTCCTCCTCCGGGGATCGCAACCCAGGACCCTTTGCGAAGATCGGCTATCTTGAGCGCTTTGTAGACGGTGACGCCTGCACACAAGATTGGAGCTGCCTCGGCATCCTTGACATTTTCTGGGAGACGGACGAGGTAGTGGGAGTCGGCCAGTGCATATTGCGCAAAACACCCCTCGATATCCTTCCCGGTGATCTTTCGGTTGGGGCAGAGGTTTTCGTGGCCCGTCGTACATGGCTCGCACAGCTTGCAGACCTTGTGCAGCCAGCGGACGGCAACACGATCTCCAACTTGCCAGACTTCCGAGTCAGCGTCTGGGCCGAGGGATACAATGGTGCCAGTTCCTTCGTGGCCGCCAATAGAGACGCTGGGTTGGAGGTAAGGGAGATCGCGGCGAGCAAGGTGCAGGTCAGATGCGCAGACACCGGTATATTTCACCTTTACCAGCACTTGGCTTGATGTCGGGGTGGGTGTCTCACGAAGAGTCGTGGAAATTTCTTTGGTTTTGGCATCTTGGACTGCCGCAAGGCTTTGTGGAGGGATTGGAGTTGGCTCTGCCGATGGCATTGTCGATGATTTCCTTCGGGTGTCTGGACACTTGAATGGATTCAGAACCCGAAGTCTCAGACCCCTTTCTTATATGAGAGTGCAGGCCAGCACTGCATAGCTATAACCCCGCATTGCTAAGCAAAACGGTATCAATCGGGTGGAGAGGGAAGGGATAAGATATCTCGTACAGTACCCGGCGGGCTGCCCACCTTCTCGGCCTCTCCGCCTCTCCGCCTCTCCGCCTCTCCGCCTCTCCGCCTGTTCGCTTCTCCGCCCGCTCGCTTCCCCGACTGCTCGCTTCTCCGCCTGCTCGCTTCCCCCGCTTGCTCGCTTGTTCGCTTGCTCGCTTCCCCCGCCGTATATCGGTTAGTGCACCCGACCCCGATAGCTTGGCACCCCCGGGAATATCATGGCCACTTCCGGAAATATTGTCACCTCCGGAGATGTGATCCAATCTCTTCCAATGGCAGGGGATACTAGGCTTACGAGCGTATGGCCGCCTTATTTCCCTTCAGGAAAGCCATCTTTCATTTGCCGGAATTGCACCCGGTCACGAGATACGGGGCCCCTAACTGGTCTTGACTGGTTCTCACTGGTCCCAGGTGGCCCCAGGTGGCCCCCAAGTGGTCTTGGCCGTCCTAAATAGTCCTATGTAAGTATCAGTGCGAGATATCTGATCTTGGGGACCCCAGACGCGGGGCTCGCGAGTCACCAAACTTGTGGAGTATAAAGGGTGATCTATGCGCATTGCGGTCGTCGTCCCTGCATCACTCTCCCCGTCTTCTACCATGTCCTCCATAATGGATGTGAAGGCAGACTCTGACCATCTCGGTAATTGCCCTCCTCTTTCTAGGCACATCTAGACAACCGTTGAACCAATGTTGACCGAAGAGCTGACTCTGGACCTCTGGTCGACAGAAGATCAGATGGAACAGCAGAAGGAATCTGCTTCAGACAGGGAATATGCATCGTCCCCCGCCCGCCTGAAGACACGCGATGGCATCGTCCTGATGCCTCAGCCATCAGATGATCCCAATGATCCTCTGAACTGGTGAGAAAGACGTCTGCCGAGCCTTAGGCCACAGACTGACAGCTGTAGGTCATCTTTTCGGAAGCACATGGCTATGGCTACACTCTCCTACCTCGCATTCGTGTGCTACATGTCCGTCACAGCTATCATCCCGGGCACGCTCGACCTTGCAAGGACATTTTCCGTCACCAAGAGCACTGCAGTATATATAGGAAACACCCCGGTCGCGTTGTATGCCGTCGGTCCCTTTCTATGGAGTCCTTTAAGTCATTTCATAGGCCGCAGACCAGTCTTGTTGCTCAGTAACTTGATTGTGATCGTGGGTACGATAGTGGCGGCTTCAGCTAAGACCTACGCGGCATGTATGGTGGGACGTATCATCCAAGGGCTTGGCGGCTCTGCCTTCTGGTGCTTGGGACCGGCTAGTATTGCAGATATAGTAAGGAGCAATGCCAATGTGTCGAGTAATTCCCGCCGTACTGATCCAATATATTAGTTCTTCCGCCACGAGAAGGGAAAGAAGATTGGCATGTCTACGCTTGCTATTGTCGTTGCCCCATTCGCAGGTGGTATCATAGGCGGTGCAATTATTAACAACGCCTCGCTCGGCTGGCGCTGGTCTCAATGGATTTCTCTCATCCTCATCGGAGCCGGATTCCTTGCACAGATCGTGTTCGTGCCAGAGACAATCTACATCCGCGATAATACCCCTTCCGGCTTCGGGGAATCGACTAAAACCCCTTTCAAGACTACCTTGTGGTCCCGATACGGCATCCACATTCCCAAACGGGCGGCAGATAAGCAGCACAGCTTCCTCTTTATATCTACACGACCGTTCATTATGTTCAAGTTCCCCGCCGTCGTGCTGGCCTCCTTCTGGTTTGGGGTAGCATACATGCTGCATGTAGGGATCACATCTGAAATACCACTCATATTTCAGCCGCCACCTTACAACTTCTCAGTCCTTGATGTTGGGCTTTCAGCGTTCTCTGGCTTGATTGGAGCGTTGCTTGGCGAGGCATATGCTGGACCCGCTATCGACTTCATCGCAAGAAGGGCTATCAAGCAAGACAAAGAGTGGAGACCTGAGATGCGACTGAAGGCTATCTGGCCAGCTTTGGTTGCAGCTCCTAGTGGTCTTCTCATTTTTGGTATCACTATCCAGTTTGGGAAGGCTTGGATTGCGCCGCTCATTGGACAGGCCGTATATATCTTCGGTATTGAGATCGCTACTACGGTTATGTGAGTTTCTTCCGTTTCTTTGATCCGAGTTTTCTGCTAAATCTTATTTCTCCAGACAAACTTATCTTCTCGAGTCTTACCCTCGACAGGGAGCTGAGGCGAGTCTGATATTCAACTTTAGTCGCAATATACTCTCTTACACGACTCCTTTCTTCATAATGAATATGATCGGCAAGATCGGAGGTAGTGCCACCTTCGGGATCTTCGCTGCTTTGATTGTTTTTTTCTTCCCTCTAACCATTGGTATTCTGATGTGGCGGGGAATGGAAATCCGTGAGCGCAGTGGGGATCCAGGGTGGAGCAGAGACTAGATGGGGCAGTGCACCTATTAAAAGTTATTAGAAAGAGAATCCAAAGAACTTTTAAATGATGGCCCTCCCAGAGAGCCGTCCGGGGATCCACGATTATGCGCTGTACAATATGGAAGTTATTCAGCCGAGTAGTAGGTAATTTAGATGATCCAGTGACTGCGCACAATTTTAGTGATACACATCAGCATTGATTCAGAAAGGACACACACCTCTACTTACTCAAGTGGGACCATCTTCCGCAATATATCTGTAGCGGAACCCCAATTTATGTCGGGAAACCATCACAGAAGAAACAGGCAGCATGGAATCTCCCTCTCCAGACAAATCCAGTAGCCCGTGAAAACGCTGGGAAAGCGGTGAGTTCCATATCGCTAATTGTGATAATGGAGCACGATGAAAGCGAACTCTCCTGAGCTCGATTGAGGGTAGTAACGGCTTCTCTCTCAAGTATATGCTTCTGTCTGGATAAGACTCCATACTTCTCCGTCTGGAAGCTCCTTGAGCCGGTTTCTTAATTTGTCTTGCCTCTTCCTTCGTTGGTTCGACCCCTGTATAGCCCGGGATATAGCCATATCAAGAAGCAGTCTAACAATCTCTTCCCCCGGATAGCTTCCGGCTTCTCCAATTCGAAGTATTTTCTTCCTTGCATTTATGCATATCCTTAAGAATACCCGAACTATGGTTCGCGTTGCATCATCGCATCGTCTTCGGCATAATCATCGAGATGAGGGGTCAATTTAGACTCCAGAGGTTAGCAATGTTGTCGCAATTCACCTGAGACGTACCCGAATGGAGCCAGCAAGCAAGGCCTTTCGTTTTCAGATTGCTTGAACTACACCCTTGTTGAGGCTCCGCACAGGTATCACATTGAAGGGTTGCCCCCGCGCAGTGTCCTTAACCAGGCCTGGGATTGTGCTGCGGATATTCAACAAAAATGAAAGCTTGCTTCGGGTTTGCAACCTGGACCATCTCACCGAGCATTTCTCCCGGCTCCCATACAACTAGCTGAAGCTACAGGTGAATGCGACTCGCCCTTTGGACAGAAGTCACCAGCCGTGAGAGTAGCACTAGACTTTGTAAACATATTCATGCATTGGTATAAGATAATAGCAGACGATGGGTTCCCTGCCTCCCTATCCCGTACAAGCCAGTTGGCTGCATCTTGTTGGGAACCAGTCCGAGTTCTAAGAAGCATGCCAATTGACCCACGTATGCAAGACATCTCCACCCTTTAACCCAGCCTCCTTGATGGTCGTTGTCGTGTTGTAATGCAGAATTTGTCAGTTGTAAATAACAAACACCTTTGTGTGTCGATTAATAAAGCGTTCTTCGTACCAAGTCCGGCAAAGCGAGTGGATTGTGGTATCTGTTGGCACGGTGAGGGACAGAGGCTGCAGATAGGTGGCATGAAGAGAAATAGTAACAAGTCGTGGTTCGATATTCGCGGCTCTCCATGCCAGGTTGTGTAACCCGTCCAGTCTCCCCGTCTCGGTGTTTGCCAGTAATTCTTTGATTACGTTCCTAGAGGAGCTTATCGCTGCCTCTAGAGAAGCTGAAAGGCCTCCATCGCTACAGATATCAAGTTTCTTGTCGCTCAAACGGTCTTTGTAGGCTGAGACAAGGGTAGCACGTCTTCGCCACAGAGACGAAGTACCGAACGATCAGTATAATGACTTCCAGTGGTCTAAATTCGCTTACCCAGGTAGCTGGGGTACAACCCTCCAGTTCTCATGACCTGTTGTAGTTGTTCCTCCAGCACGATGTATTTGTTTTTTCGTCCTTGAACCGGTCAATGGCTGGCTGAGCGGCTGATTTGAAGAACTACTTACCCTTACCATCAGGTAGCTCACTGACCTTCTTGATCACATTGTCATAATGGATGTCCCAGACACAGTAGGCGTAGATCAGTGCACGATCACAGGAATCGTCCTCCTGGATGAGAATTATCATGTCTCTTCTGTGTGCTTGCTGTAATTCCATTAATCAACGAAATTGGTATGCGATGTACTGCGGGGCGAGAAAGGCTCACAATCATCTTCAGCTCCTGCTTAGGAGAGAGATCCAAAAAGGGCATCTTGATCTGGGCGTATTTTGGGCGGGAAAAGTCTAATTTATGCTGAAGATAAATAGATACAGAAGAGCGGGAAAACAACGTGAGGAATCAAACTGGGGGCTTTTATTTCAAAAGAGCAAGAACGGTAGGAGGGACCTGCCACCTTCCATCTCCTCAGTTCGGAGTGTGGGTGAGCAACTGCCAAGTCTCGTCTGTCCTGAAGGTTTGATTTTATCGAGGGCCTTTCAAATTGAGGGCCGTGACCGTAATAGGTTCAAAAGATAGGTATCCGAGGACTCGAGGAGACACACAGGCAAAGTCCCTCAAACCATACAGCTTATAAAGCTCATAAAGTTCAATATTATGTTGTACATTGGCTAGTCGCTCTGAGCTCCACGTTCTAGCCGAGAGAAATCCTTGGCCACGTCTGTTGAGATTCTGTCGCCATTGCCGAATAGGGTATCCATGAATGTGCCTGCAGACCCCAAAGTTGACCGCATCCCGGGCAGAGCTAAGTTTGAGAGAACGCCTCGCCAGCTTTCAATTTCTTGAAGCTTTTTATTAATCAAGCCACCATCTACCCCATCGACGTCCTTTACTGGCGAAGTGCCCCCAAATCCAAAACTTGCTTTTGAGATACTCCCATTTCGGACCGTGAAGCTAGCACGAAACTGAAACTGACGAGAGCCATGAGTAAGGTTATTTTCACGATTCAGAATGGGAAAGGGCACTCACGTCAGTGAGATCACCAGGGAGCTGAGGCCTCTCTCGGGGATCTTCCTCTGTCGCGTGTGTAGAGAATGTAAACTGTGGGGTTTGCGAATATATCCAATCCAAAGACTATTTTTCATCAGTTACAGCATTATATCAACAATGAAGAATGAAGAAAACCTACAGTCAACTCATCAAAACCCTTTCGAATCTCCGGCACGTCCTTTGCTTCCTCCGTCACCAGTATCAGCTCCCCGCCGGTATAGAGATCCCTGAACTCAGACACGACAGCTTGCTCAAAGGCAGTATTGGGTACGTTGACATTAGTAATCGGCGAGCTGACACTGTCAACTCCCCGGGCCTTGATAAATGGTTTCGCCGGGGACTTCAGGAACGCGCCTATCTTCCTGATATTGGGAGAGGACAGCAAACAGGTCCCGTGGTGGAGGGATCTCAGCCTTGTCAGTTTGTAGGCGGATCCGGAAATCTTCAACGGCCTCGCATCTCCCGGCGCTGGGACGTTCCCGAGTACAATATCATGACGCTCGTTCACAAGCGCCCTGTCCACTCCGAGCCCGCGCAAAGCCCGAACCACCATTTCGGCATGTTTGTCTCGATTGAATGCCAGCGTTGGGCATATCACACTATAATTGACATTTCCCTCGTCGTGGAAAACCGTTCCTCCCCCCGATCTCCGACGGACGAGCTCGACGCCGAGAGGATCATTCCTGAGCAGCCCCAGATTGACTTCGAGCCACGGATTTTGATTTCGCCCAATTACTATGCTCGGGCGGTTCGTATACAGGAACAACACAGTAGAATCCGCCGGTGTTTTCTGCAGGAGGTAATGTTCGATGGAGAGATTTAGATAGGGGTCGAGGCTTCGGGATATATAGATCTGGGATTTGTTGGAGGAGTCGGTTGCTGCCCGCACAAAGTCGGAATATCGACGAATACAGGAATGGTTTGTACAGAGGCGTCCCTTCAACAGAGAGTTGAGTCTCCTCGCGGGAGCCATGGATGTCGACGCCGACGAGGTTGTGCTTTTGAAGCTGTCGAAAGGGGAAAGGTTCCCGAGGCCTTCGCGTGGGTCCTAGTCCAAGCCCAAAGAGTCATCAAGGCTCAAGAAAAGAAACGAAAATCGCATAATTGACGTGCACCGACTGTATCTTGAACGTAACAACACTCAAGTCTCAAGATGTCTACCTTTGGGGATTATTTCCGGGTCACCACGTATGTTGTCGCTCAGTGCAATGTCGCTTGACATTCTAACTGACGGCCTTTCGCAGATATGGGGAGTCGCATTGCCGGTCGGTGGGGTGTATCGTCGATGGCGTCCCTCCAGGAATGGAGCTCACCGAAGACGATATCCAGCCCCAGATGACGCGGAGGAGGCCGGGCCAGAGCGCATTGACAACACCAAGAGACGAGAAGGACAAGGTGGAGATTCAATCCGGCACCGAATTTGGCATCACTCTGGGCACTCCAATCGCAATGATCGTCCGAAACCAAGATCAGCGACCCAAGGATTACGGAAATTCTACCATGGACCTCTACCCCCGACCGAGCCATGCGGATTGGACATACTTGGAGAAATACGGGGTGAAGGCAAGCAGTGGAGGTGGACGGAGCAGTGCCCGAGAGACAATTGGACGGGTCGCGGCCGGTGCAATCGCAGAGAAATACCTCAAGCTAGCATACGGCATTGAGATCGTTGCATTTGTATCTTCAGTTGGCAAGATACACATGTTCCCTCCTAGTGCAACACACCCAACGCCGTCTACAAACCCTGCCTTCCTGTCTCTCCTAGATACGATCACAAGAGAAAAGGTCGATGAGTTCGTGCCAGTACGATGTCCAGACGCCGCATCTTCTGCAAAGATGGCCGAAGAAATAGCAGAGTTCAGGGATAGACAAGACAGCATTGGGGGTACTGTCACTTGCGTGATCAGGAATGTTCCGACTGGTTTGGGAGAGCCGTGCTTTGATAAGATAGAGGCAATGCTTGCACATGCCATGCTCAGTATCCCTGCTACCAAGGGCTTTGAGGTTGGTTCTGGATTCGGTGGCTGCGAGGTTCCCGGATCGATACATAACGATCCTTTCGTCCTCGCCCCCGAAGTACCGCCACTGGAGACGGGTGCAACGAAGAACGGCATTCCCCGCCCTCGGCTTACGACAAAGACAAACAACTCGGGTGGCATTCAAGGAGGAATCACCAACGGTGCGCCCATATATTTCCGGGTTGGGTTTAAGCCTCCTGCGACGATTGGGCAAGCTCAGGAAACCGCCACCTATGACGGTGCCGCAACTGGTGTTTTGGAAGCCAAGGGGAGACATGATCCATGTGTTGTTCCGCGGGCGGTGCCAATTGTCGAAGCCATGGCTGCTTTGGTCGTTATCGATGCATTGATGGCTCAACAGTCGAGGCAGCAAACTAGGAGTCTATTGCCTCCGTTGAAGGGATCCACGTCAAAGGAAGCGTGATCAAAACCTAGTAGACAAAGCAAAAATAACGTATTTTAGCATACTTCGCTACATTCGTGATTGATCCTTTTTGTGATAACCAGGTGTTCTTCTATCCCTGTAATCCAGCATGCTTGGATCGACAACCCCATGTCACCAAAATCCTTGTCGAGAGCGAGAAAGCGTGGGGGGGGGATGCTTAAGGGGCAATTTATTCAAGCGAGGTCTTTCTCTCTCTACTCCGTAAATGACTGGGTAGTCCCTCCTCACAACTCTCATATATTCGTCAGTGGCTTGGAAGCATTTCAATTGACGTTGTTCGCAAAATTTACAAGTAGCTATTGAAGCCGAAATTGCCTGCAGTCCATATCCAACCCTCCTAAGTCAAAGAGTGTCGAGACCACCTCACGAATTGGCAGTTGAATATAAATCCCTAGAAGACAGTGGACAGCAGAAGCTCGAGGCGGATGCCTGATAGCATCTTTTTTTGCAACATTCACCAGAAATATATAAGGCAGTAGTTGCAAGAGATATATCCAATATGTATGTATATCTGCAAGGTATAATATGACCTGCAATACATATGAAAATGGCACAAGGTACAAGGCACCTACCTAGCATGATTCGAATCGAATAGGATGTTTAATGCTACAGCTACAAAAAGGGGTATTCACGCTGATACTAACTGACGCAACCTAACCAGGTTCTCCATCTGGGATATCCAGCCTTTCGCAAACTCCCCCTCTGTGAATCTCTTCGCCGACTCACGTGCTCTGAGGCGCATGGCCAACTTATCTTCCAGTGCCAATGCTTGCTCGAAGCCTTCTGCAAATTCTGTTGCTGTTGTGGCATGAAAACCTGTGTTGTTAGCAAGGAGCCCACGAAAAGATCTGGGGTAGTAACTTACCAGTTGGCTCACCATGAAACGGTGTCACGATATCACGTTTTGGTCCACCACTGTTATGAACCACGGAAATGAGACCAGCTGCTTGATACTCAACAACGCCAATACCAAAGTGCTCATTCCACATTCCATTGACACCGACACTAGCCTTTCGAAGCCAATCTAGGATCTCTGGCCATGAGGCATCGAGATGGAACTCCACGCAGTCCCTGATCTTTAGCTCATTCGCTAGCAGGCGCAATTCATATACACGTTTCGAATCCCCATCATCCCGCACACTTCCAACTAAAATTAGTCTCGCTCCTTTCGTGGCGGCGCTTTTCGTTGACATAAACTCCGCAAATGCTGTTAAGATGAGCTTGTGGTTCTTCTCGGGCCTGAACTGCGCAATGTATAACAGGATATTCTCCCGAACCTTCTCACTGGCTTCCGAGACTTCAACCTCCTTCTCCAACTCTTCAACTGCAACAGGGGGATAAAGGACAATTGGTTTCCACTTTCCGAGCTCTCTTCTCCAATCATCCCATAAAGACCGAATGTGCTCCAGAGTCCATGTAGAATTAGTCATCACAGCATCGATGGAAGCGCCAACCCAGGAATAAAACAACGCGAAAATATGCCAGTACAGTTTCTTGCCGGCACCTTTCAAACCCGTCCCTCTCCCCGCATTGACGCCCTGGTTTCCAGTTGCAGAGCCCGGATCCAGTGAGCTAAGCATATCCGTTGATATCGTGGGATAATGAACATATGCTCCTGTTGGGACATCTTGAAACAGGATCTTGCTGAAAGCCAGCGCAAACGCATATCCCATCGTATCCACAAAAATATCAGGGACAAGCAGAGAGAATGCATCCCATGCCAACACAAGTGACCCAAAAGACTGTCCCAGCAATGTGAAGTGTGGCCATGAGGAGGCAAGGACCCAGGAACGTGTTGTGAGATAGAGAAAGGTTACAGTGGGTGGATGGAGGTGGATATTGAAGCGGCTCTGTCAGATATAAGAGTTAGCAGAGGAACACCGCAGGCCAATCGAGATATTTACCTTGACTCTAGCCAGGATGGCTGCTTTGTCCATGTCATGATCACCGGTATAGACAACGCACCTGGCCTTGGGCCAACGCTTCTGAGTCGCTCTAATGGCAGCCCAAAGAACTCTTTCTCCGCCACCACCAGCATTACTGAACCAAGTCAACAGCCTAATCAATCCAAAGCACAAATAGCCTACCAGAAAGGATGAAAGAATCCAACAATACCATCCCACTGCTCGTCTCCCTTCTCTCCATTCTGTGCCGTTACCACGGCATGGGCTTCTACATTCTCCCACTCGTCACTACCCCCCCGCCTGTCTCCCCCTTTTGCCAGAAATGCCTTCTCATCCGCCACCGTTAACTCCAGGATATGCGCTCTGCGTCCGGCTGTTTTCTTCTTCAGGTAATAGCCAAATGTGCCTCCAACGTAGAAGAGGAGCTTCGGACCCAGCAGGATTGTCGTGAGTGGTAGGCAAGCAAGGAGCAGAGCCAGTATCATGGTGGCATAGTTCGAGCTCAGCCCGAATGTCCACATCTGACTGCCGTCAGGTGCGATACAGGTTTCTTCCATCCTCTGTGTTGGTGGTTGGGTTGTCAGAGGACAGGTTTTGCGAATTCGCGAGGCGTCGCTTTATCGGAGTGACGCGCTGTCGGCGTTCGAGCCCGACATCTGCAGCTTCCGGGTAAACCTTTGCACCTTTTTGAGCAAAGCATCATGGACCAACCCTACGGAGTAAACTGGTCTGAACATCGAATTGAATTAAACCAGTACGCCTCATCGCCTGCTTGATTCCTATTGCCAGCTCTCTGTTGATCACAATGTCTACGACCCTGTTGCGGCCAAAACGTATCCGTCCGCCCTCGAACCACATCTCGACTCTCTTTCTCCAATTGCCTCCCCATTACCGCGCCTTTCACGCCTCTCCTCGACCTCAATTCCTCGAAGCTGGACTAACCACCTTCCATACCCTCTTCGAGGGCCTACATACCTATTCCGGTCTACCATGGGCTTATACCCTCCCTCTCGCAGCCCTCGCAATCCGAACTACCTTCGTCCTCCCCCTCAGCATCTACGCCCGGCGCGCCAATCAAAAGCAAGCGGCCCTCATGCCGCTGGTACAATCATGGCAACATGTACTGCGCAAGCAGACAATGGCAGAAGTAGGGCATTTGGGTCCCGTTGTTGCAGAAGAGAAATTGCTCCGGAAGTTGCGGTCGAAGCGGAGTGAGATCTATAAACGATGGGGCTGCCCGCTATGGAAGACAATGCTGCCGTTGGCACAATTGCCTATTTGGCTGACAGCTGTCGAGGCTATAAGAGCAATGTGTGGCACCAGAGTGGGCTTGTTGGGTATGATAATGAGAACTGACAATGACTCGGATGTGCTTACGGCTGGGATTGAAAAGGAGGCGTCCTTTGCTACTGAGGGCGCGCTGTGGTTTCCAGATCTGCTGGTCCCGGATCCGCAGTTGATCCTCCCGTTCATGCTTTCGGCAGCTATTTTCCTCAATCTGTCGAATGCAAAAGCGCCACTGAATCAAGCGCTTTGGCAGAAAAGGTTGCAGAATTCTCTGAAGGTTGTTGCGTTGGCTATAGGACCTCTGACGCTGCAGATCCCGAGTGCCATGTTGGTGTATTGGATATCTTCGAGTTTACTGGCTTATACTCAAGCTGTGGTCCTAGATAGGCTGATGCCAGTCAAGCCACCTGTTATGCCTTCCAAGCCGAGGGATCGTCTCGGGTCGTCAGGACCGACATCGAGAAGTATGAACCTATGAATGTGTAAGATCACTTTAGATGTAACAATATATCTCGCCCTATTTCAGCGCGCCCCTACAAGGACCTTCCGGAACGTGACACTTTTCTTGCTTGATGTGCCAGAATTCAGAAAGAACCGTGTCATGATTAGTGATATATGCTTTTCTCCCGGGCTTCACAGCAATTGCTCGAATGTGTAGTGTACCTAGCCTATAGGTACAGTATAGAGCCAGTCTCCAGCCCCGTTGAGCTCCAAGAGAAGAGCCAAACAACGGCGGCATCTTGTCAGCCCAACCACCCATCAGACCCTTCCTCTTGTAAATATTGATAAGAAGAACCACTCTACACGGCCCACAACACGCTAACCAACCTCCCCGAGAGGATTTCGCGTCGGATATCTCACGTGATGGGGAGACAAGCCGTCCTGCTTATTAAAGTTGTTTTGGCGCGCTAGGGAAAAACGCGCTTTTCCCTGCGGTCGCGTAAAGTACTTCAGGAAGCGTTCCCTCGTGCTTTTGTTTCCTCCCCAATCAACACAACACCATCCTCCTCAACCTCTACCTCGAACTCTACTCTCCCACTCCCTGCTTAATTCAAGAGTGTAGAGCTTTACAGGAGGAGTCTTACTACCCTGCATTGATACACAAACTTAATTACATCCCTCTTTCTTGCCACCATCAACCTCTCCATCTCTATCAGGCATACCTCATCACGTAGCCATCATGTACGTGTGGAAACGCGGTAAGTGCTTAATGCCCTTAATAGCGGCAGTGCAAGGACTCATACCTGTCTAGATGGACGCAAGGAGCGCGTTCAATTCGACAAGATCACAGCTCGTGTTTCCCGACTGTGTTATGGCCTCGACGCTGAACATGTCGACGCGGCAGCAATTACTCAAAAAGTCATCTCTGGTGTCTACCAAGGTGTCACAACTGTAGAACTTGATAACTTGGTACGTTCAACCACTTGCAACGCGTTCAGGCGTGTCTCTATTCTTGCTGACATTTCCTCCCTTTTAGGCTGCAGAGACTGCCGCATACATGACGGTCACCCACCCTGATTATGCCATCCTCGCTGCTCGCATTGCGGTCTCAAACCTCCACAAGCAGACAAAAAAGCAGTTCTCAAGTGTCATTTCCGACCTATATCACTACGTCAACCCTCGAAATAACAAGCCCTCTCCCATGATCAGCCAGAAGACCTACGAAGTCATCATGAAGCATGAAGCTGAACTCAACTCGGCAATTGTCTATGACCGAGACTTCAACTACCAATACTTTGGATTCAAGACCCTGGAGCGGTCATACCTTCTACGCCTCGATGGCAAAGTTGCTGAGCGCCCTCAACACATGATCATGCGAGTGGCAGTTGGAATTCACGGTGATGATATCGAGGCGGCTATCGAGACGTACAACTTGATGTCCAGCAAATACTTCACTCATGCATCTCCCACTCTCTTCTCGGCCGGTACCCCACAGGCCCAACTTTCATCATGCTTCCTGATCGACATGAAGGAGGACAGTATTGACGGTATCTACGACACGCTAAAGACCTGTGCAATGATCTCAAAGAATGCTGGAGGCATCGGTCTCAACATCCACAGAATTCGGGCTACCGGGGCCTACATCGCCGGTACAAATGGGAACTCCAATGGCATTGTGCCCATGCTCCGAGTCTTCAACAACACCGCAAGATATGTCGATCAGGGTGGAAACAAGCGTCCGGGAGCGTTTGCCATTTACCTCGAGCCATGGCATGCGGATGTCTTTGAGTTCCTTGACCTCCGAAAGAACCATGGAAAAGAGGAAGTTCGTGCACGCGATCTTTTCTACGCCCTGTGGATTCCCGATCTCTTCATGAAGCGTGTTGAGAAGAACGGAGACTGGACTCTGATGTGCCCCAATGAATGCCCCGGCCTGGCAGACGTTTACGGGGATGAGTTCGAGGCTCTCTACGAGAAATACGAGAGAGAAGGTAAGGGTCGCAAGACTATCAAGGCTCAGAAACTCTGGTACTCCATCCTCGAGGCCCAAACCGAGACCGGGAACCCCTTCATGCTCTACAAGGATGCTTGCAACCGAAAGAGCAACCAGAAGAACCTGGGAACAATCCGAAGCTCCAACCTGTGCACAGAAATTGTGGAGTACTCTGCCCCAGATGAGGTAGCTGTCTGCAACTTGGCTTCTCTCGCCCTGCCAACCTTCGTTGACATGAACAACGGCACCTACGACTTCCAGAAGCTTCACGAGGTGTGCCAAGTCGTTGTCAAGAACCTGAACAAGATCATCGATATCAATTACTACCCTGTTCCAGAGGCTAGAAAGAGCAACCTCCGACATCGCCCCATCGCTGTGGGTGTTCAAGGTCTTGCTGATGCGTTCCTTGCTCTCCGCTTACCTTTCGAATCGCCCGAGGCCAAGTACCTCAACAAGCAAATCTTTGAGACCATCTATCACGCCGCTCTCACTGCATCGGTTGAGCTTGCCAAGGTGCATGGACCTTACGAGACATACGAGGGCTCGCCAGTATCGAAGGGAGAGCTCCAATATGACATGTGGGGTGTCACGCCTACTGACCTCTGGGATTGGGACAGCTTAAAGCAGCAGATTGCGCAGCACGGTGTCCGCAACTCTCTCCTCGTGGCTCCCATGCCAACTGCCAGCACCAGTCAGATTCTGGGCTTCAACGAATGCTTCGAGCCATACACCTCCAACATTTACTCTCGTCGTGTGCTGGCTGGAGAATTCCAAGTCGTCAACCCTTGGCTCCTCAAGGATCTCGTGGACATGGGTCTCTGGTCTGACAACATGAAAAACCGCATCATCGCTGAGGGTGGCTCCATCCAGAACATCCCCAATATCCCAGCCGACATCAAGGCTCTGTACAAGACGGTCTGGGAGATCTCTCAACGGACGATCGTCCAGATGGCTGCTGATCGTGGTGCCTTCATTGATCAATCCCAGTCGATGAACATCCACATGAGGGACCCAACGATGGGCAAGATCACCAGCATGCACTTCACTGGCTGGAAGTTGGGTCTGAAGACCGGCATGTATTACCTCCGCACCATGGCAGCCACCGCACCGATCCAGTTCACCGTCGATCAAGAGGCACTCCTCGTTGCCGATACCAACGTTGCTCGAGAGCGCACGGCCAAGAAGCGAGCGATGCCATCCGGGGGCTACATCTCGCCCTCGACCCCCGCTGTCCCTCGGCCGATGTACGTCAAGCAATCCCCAAATTCCACGACGAATGTGCCAAACGGAGTGCCAACACCCACGACGACCCCGCCGCCGTCATCTGAACAGAAGAAGTTTGCCCCAGCAGCGTCTCCAGGCTTCAAGGCTGATACAGAGGAAGGTTCCAGCCCTAAGAGCCTCGCCACGGAGCCAGCCAGTGCCCCGCCGAAGGAGGAGGAGCTGCCCGAGCCGGCCCTCAAGGGTGCGAAGCAGGAGGAGGACAAAGACCGAGAGAGTGAGGAGAGAGAGCATGACATCTATGCCGATGCTGTGCTGCAGTGTAAGCCCCCCCCCCAAACCCCCCCCCTCCCCCTGGCACGATGAAGCGCCACTGACGATCCCCCCAGGCAGCATCGATAACCGTGAGGAGTGCTTGATGTGCAGTGGATAGAAAGACTTGAGCGAGACGCGAGTGATGACATGATACAGACGGCTTATGCTCACGCTTGATGCAGGAGATGTACTTTTGCGTGGCTGGTGGAGTTCTTTGATTTTGTTCTTTTGTTCTTTTGTTCTTTTGTCTTGATATGGTATTATGGGCCCGGGTCAATGTCAGTAATATGCGTCTCCTTTGCACTACAGGTACTTTTGTTATTATTACTGGAGGAATTCAAGCCGCCAGAGGGAGGAGGACGGATTGGAATGGTGTATCTCGAAGACTAGCATAGCAGGATAAGGAATGTTGATTTTTAGAAGGACTTGCGTGGCCTTGTATGCTCCTCGCGTGTGTGGGGTGTGAAGAAGTGAATAATGCGGGCGGCTGTCGTCGAAAGTGCGAGCGTACGTAAAGGTCGGCCACGGGCTGTGGCATTCTCCGAAGGGCAACTCCCGGGTTCCCATGACGGGGCGGGACGACTCCTACTACCTACCTACCTAGTACCTACGCTACTCCTTTGGCGGTGCTGCACTGGAAATAATAATAATGCGCTCTGCACGCTCTGCACGCTCTGCACGGCGTAAGAGTGATCAGCGGGCAATCCAAGGGCCAGTCCTGACACTATTGACAGCGAAGCGTGGCCGGCGCGGACGCCAGCTGGTTGTTGGGTAGACGGGAGGAGGAGCCGGGGGGGGGCGAGTCAGGGACAAGGGGCGGTGAGGAGGGGGAAGAGAAGAGAATTCTGCGGGAGTGGGGGAATTGCTGATGTGTGAAGGAAAAGCGAAAGTAAGGAGAAATGGGGATAAGGAGGGAGGGAGGGAGGGAGGTTGATGTGATTGAAATGTTGTTACTGTACCGTATAGAGGAGAGGAGAGGAGAGGAGAGGAGAGGAGAGGAGAGGAGAGGAGAGGAGAGGAGAGGAGAGGAGAGGAGAGGAGAGGAGAGGAGAGGAGAGGAGAG